TGTGTGTGCGCGTGTGTGTAGATACAATACTTGTTTATAATACGATATTCAGTTCCTTTCAAATACTTCACTTACAATCTCGATGTCTGTCAAAAATAATTAAGCTTGTATAACAATATATGATTTAGTGAACATAAGGCCAAAAGGTACGTTCCCGTTTCAAGCAGAATAAATACTGATTGTACTGGACTTTGCCAAGTAACTTCTTGGTGACTGTCATTCTTACATGTACACTTCGACATGGTGCCTTGATAAAAGATATATATAATTTGGTACGGATGTTCACTTTTCAAAATACCCCTGCGATAATTCTTATCTACTTCCTGAAACGTCAACTTTTTACCCTTCCTCTTATCAAAAATATAACTAACGCAGGAAATAGGCGCCACGGTATCGTAAAGTCTTGCCACATACCAGCACGCTGAAAAAAAATGTACTAATGAGGACGGTATGTACACATACGCGAACCTAATTAACTTCCATCGCGAGGCACGCTGGAGGGAACAGCCGGTACGCTGGGACACAGGCGGTACACTGGAGGGAATAGCCGGTATACTAAAGGTTTCAGCCGCCACTGGTGTGCTGGAGGAAATAGCTAGTATGCTGGAAGGAGCAGCTCGTACATTAGATTGAACAGTCAGCATGCTGTAGGTAGTATGTAGGAAGGAGCAGCCACAATGCTGAAAGGAACAGCTGGTGAACGGGAAGGACCAGCTGGCACATTGGAGGAAACAGCCGGCACGGTGGGCAGAAGAGCCGCAGCGACGATATGGAAGAAGGGAGACCAGTCAGCGTAGAGTGCTGAACAATTCTCCAAGGGAAAAAAAATAATTTGTCGGTGAAGAGAAGAAGTACTTTCAAGAGGCGATGCATGCCTTAATTGTAAGAAAAAAAAAAAGAAAAAAAAAAAATCAACCTCATTACAGTATTATCACAATGTGGTAAATAAAATAGTCTACATATTAGCTGCTTAACACTACCAGCCTTTGGGTAACAGATACAGGATCGCAAATTTCAGTAACTTTCATTAGATGCCATGCTCATGTCTCATGTCATGTCACATTAACCATTAGCATTAAACATGGACTCCTATGATAAGATTTGGAGATTTAGGAAGCACGGAACTCTTGGGAACATACATAATCAACAAGGTAGCCTATGAAAGTATGGGGTCTGAGCCACTGCTCTCTCTACCAAAATAACAAGGAAAATACGTAATGGTTTATACAGATACAATGTCAAGGCATCCAGAAATAAATAGACTATATAAATATAAAATATGGACATATATATATATATATATTTTATATTCACTATATGTATAATACACACACAGACACACACACACACACACACACACACACACACACACACTATACTATATATATATATATATATATATATATATATATATATATATATATATAATATATAGATAGATGTTATATATATATGCACATGTATACATCCATACATTCACTGTAAATATTTAAATATGTACATCTTTGCATATCCATATACTCTCATAAAAGCCAGTATTGATAATGCATGCACACAATCATGTGCAGGACTTTCTGGAAAATATAAAATGTCTCTGAAGCACATATATTATATGTAACTTTTCTCATCATGTATCACATGATATTAGAAGGCACTAACACAGAAGGCACTGAGTTGTACTTAAGACTAACGCATTATCGCAGGGCCTTGGTATAGGATATCAAGCCGATATGCTTTATCATAAGCAATCTTTTAAACTAAACCAGGCAATAATGTCTTATCACAAGACTGGTCTTATTTTTTGAAGACAGGTATTTTACGCAATCCCGCTGGATTTACAGGCACTAGGGTTGTATCACAGCTACACTATGGTCAACCAGCAGTGACACGTGGCACTGGGAAGTTGACGAGTGTACAGAGAAGTGTACAATAAAATGCCTCGAAAGTGTGTACGAATGGAGTTTGAAGAGGCGTCCTGCAAAACTTCACCAAGGGGAGCCCAGTGGAGGAGCTTCAGGACATCTGCCGAGCGAAGGGAAAATTTTGGAGCACGAGGATGCCACTTTCTTTGCCAGGGGGAGGAGCCACTTGTGTGCCTGTCGGTCTACCTGCAGTAGGAAAGAAAAAGGTGATACTGCATCAACAGATCAATTACGTCATTGATATAACCCTTCCCCCTGTTTTGGAAAGTTGCCTCTATATCCTGCCACAGACAAAAAAGAAGAAAAAAAATGATATCGCCACTGAACATAGTATAGTCATCATATAATCTACCAGAATACACCGAAAACTCTCTTCAAACTTATCATCATTACCAAACCATTGCCTCACAGAGCACTTCAAAGCCATCGACCAATACCTGGTTTGGTTGCTTGAGACAGTCGAACCCTCCAAACTCACAGATTCTGTAGTGGTGGGAAAGGCCAAGGTCGATGGGGACATTCTTCACCTTCTTGGCATCTGGAAAGAAAGAAAAGAAGGGATTATGGGCCATATTCAA